CCCCCCTCCCCAATCTCTCCTGGCAGGACGACCCCAGCGCTCCCCACAAGCTGCAGGACTCCCTGAAATCCTGCCTGAAGGACGAGGAGCCGTTTAACATCCACAACTCGACGTCGCCCAAGCACGACGGCGGCAAAGGGGAGCCGGACGGCGGCGAGCTCCACTGTCTGCAGAACAACCTGACGTGAGCAGGGGAGGAGAAGGAGGCGAGAGCGGGAGCCAGCCCTCCCATCCCCTGCTGTACAAATCTCCTGTCTCCTCCCCGTCCGGTATCTCTTTTTCCCGCTCCGTGGCATGCTTTGGTGTGTTTTGTACAGAAGAAAACAAAAATTAATTAATAATAATACAAAGCCAAAGGCTGTAAATGGTCTTTGGCCGCGTCGTGTTGTGGGGGTGTTTGGTTCGTGCTCCGTGTATCTCGCTTGGGTTAGTTCAGCGCTGTGATTTCTAAACCTTTGCCGTTCTGCAACTGACTTTTTTTGTACTTTTACCCCACTTTTTTTGAAATACAAGTAAAAACAAGAACAAAAAAAAAAGGAAGATCTTGAAATAAAACTTTTTTTTTTTTTAAAGTTAAGCCTCTTGCCGGTGCCTGCGATCTCCCGACACAGACACAGCAGGTTCGGTCCCTGCTCCCCCGGGTCCCATCTGAGCGTCACCCGAGGGGGTGGCGGGTGCCCAGTCCCCTCTCCCTGCCCTCCCCGGCTTTGCCAAGCCAGGGGTGCAACGCGTCCCACCGGAGTGGGGACCCTGCGGGTTGCTGCCGTCCCAGACACGCTCGGGTGCAGATGGGACACCCCGGGATGTTTGGCAGAGGCGCCTGGCCTGCACCCTGCACCCAGGGTCTGCTCCGTCCCCGTCCCCGGCAAGGCGTGGGTGCACGGGGGTGTGACCGTCACCGACAGCGTGCTCCCAGCCACCTCCTGCCCAAACAGCCTCCTTTAGATGGAGCTGCCCGGGATGTCAGTGGGATTTTGGGCTCTGCGGCCGAAACGCCCCGGGGTTGTCACCCCCAGCTCCTCATTTCCATCCGGCAAAACCCCTGGAAGCTTTGGCAACGTTGGCCCGGCTTCTGCCAGTGTAAATCAGAAGCAGCCCCCCGATTGCCATCGCCCTGCCCTGGGACCGAGCATGGGGGGGGGGTCTGTCCCCAGGGAGCTCCAGCGCTCCCACCGCCCTCCCCTCCGGCCACAGCGCCGTCTCACTTCCTGCAGGAGCCGATTTCTTCCGGAGATGGATTCACCCACGAGCCAAAACTCATGGCTCCTCCAGAGAGAGGAAATGAAGCAATTAATCAACATACAATATTAAGTGTGCCGTGTGTTAGGGATGTGGCCGGCGATCTCCCCAGGGCAGGTAGGAGCTAAAGCCACAGCTCAGCGTGTTTTAGACATTCCCGATGCTTTCCATGAGCTGCTAAATAATTAATTCTCAGCTCACTCGGGGAGATTAAAAAATGAGGGGTGGTGGCGGGAGCCGGCAGACGATCCCCAGGGTCATGGAAAGCAGAGAGAGTGGCTGGCTGGCACCACTGGGGCTTTGGTTTTTGCTGTTCCCCTTCCAGCACGGAGCTGTACGACAGGTAAAACCGTGGATAAAGCACCGGGGCGGCATGGACACAGCAATAGAAGATAGCTGGGGCCAAGCCTGGGGGGAGAGAGATGCGCTGGGGAAGGAGGAGCCCGGCTGAGCAGAGAGGAGATGCTGATGCCCGAGAAAGCCTCATGGAAAGGCAGGCTGCCCCCAGCACAGGCAGATGCTGGGTGCAAGCTTCCCACGGGACCGGGAGGGAGGGAAAGGGAGGTGGAGCGGCATGAGCATCGCTATGACAGGAGGGAGAAGGACCCGTGCTTGCGTATGAGGAGCGAGGGGAGAAGAAACGGTTATGGGCATGCGTAAGGAAGGGGATGTTGGAGGGGATCGGGAATGACATGGGGTTGTGGGTGAGAAACGCCTGTGGGGAAGAGGAGGGAAGGGGCACCGCGGGGATGGGGGAGGCCACCCCACATCTCCAGCTGCCTGTGGAGGGAGTCGGCGGGGCCGGACGCAGGGAGACGCGGGGTGGGATGGGGTGGCCGAGGAGCGAGTCCAACCGGCGAACATGCAGCTGCGTGGTGGGCTCTGGAAACTCTCCACTCCTCGCTGGGATCCTTCCTGACGGCGCCTGCGGGTCCAGCCGGACGCTGCCTGGGGAGAAAAGAAAATCTCCTTTGCAGGGAAGAAGCAACCGGCATAATGCTGGTCTCTTGACCAGACAGAAAAACCTCACCCCTGTTTTGCTGACCAGCAGCAGGCAGGTCTCCTGCCTGGGGATGGGGCTGCCTCCACCCTTTGGGTGATTTGGGGAAGCAGCTGTCCCTGCCGCGCTCCTTCTTCTGCTTGGAGGTGAGGCTGGCACGGCACAGCCCCTCCATCGCGCTGCCGGCACGGCACAGCCCACCCATCCCAGCAAAGCCCATCCATCACGGATCTGCCCTGGCTCGACACCAAGATGCCCACCTCGGGGGCCTCCGAGGTGGGCAAGGTGGCAACTGGGGTTGCTCATTCTTCGCCACCCATTTTTGCCCTTTCAGAGGAGCCCAGCGCGTGGTCAAGGCGTGGTAGGCAGCGAAGGGCAGCGGGAGACCAGCCTCCCTGCAAAGCCGGGGTGGTAACTCCTCGGTGTTACGCCCTCGTTTAAGAGCAGTGAGGGGTGGACCCGAGGAGGAGTCGAGGGGACGGGTGTCATCCTCGGCCCGGCACTCTTGGCTGCAGCTGCTCACCCACACGGGCTGTAGGGACTTATCGGGATTCAGGGCAAAATTGGGTCACATGGATTTAAGCAGGTCTAAGGATGCTCCTGTTTATAATACACATATTAAGAGAGTGGGGGGGTATTTGTCGCCTTGTCCCTCTGCTCTGGGGTATCGGTCTGATCCCCATAATTCCCCTCCTTGCTGTGCCCCCTGCTTCAGACCCTACTCACCTACCAGGCGCGCTCCCATTTCCCGCATGAAGACACAACCTCCGTTCCCCATCTCGCTCCAGCCGGGCGCGAGCCCTGGAGCCCCATCTCGCTCCAGGGTCAGCATCCCTCGACGTGTCTCAGTTTCACCCCGGGTGATGGCGTGTCCCCAGCCCGCGGGCTCTCCTCCTGCTCTGGCTTTGCCGGAGCACTGAAGGAGGGAGGAGCGCAGTTTGCATGCGCGGGTGCATTGAGATGGAGGGGACAGCCAGGGTTACCCAGGAGGCCGGGCTCCCTGTCAGCACCTCGTCTGACACGGGGAGAGCAGGGGGGATGGCGAAGAGCATCCGCCGTGTGCCACGCCGGTCACCAGAACCAATTTCATGGGCCCTGCGGAGGAATTTGCCTCCCAGCCAGCAGAGCAACACATGGGCATTAATCAAACACCTAATCACTTTGAAACATCGAGGTTGTGGACAGCTATTAAATTTAAATGCTTGGTTAGTTTGCTGGGAGGGGAAGCGGCCTTTTGTGGCTGGGCAAGGGCTGGCACGGGGCGCGGGGTGCGAAGGGAAGGGAATTGGCATCGGTACCAGGTCTGTCCTCCTCGCTCTGTCGTCCTCTTTTCTCTCGCAGACACATAACAGGATTAAAGCCGCGACCCCGAGACAAGGAGCCTTTCTTCCTTTTGACGAGCTCCGGCTGCCTGAAACAAAATAGCCAGAGTCCCGATTCACCGGCCGAGCCCTGGCCGGGAGAGCGAAGGAGGGGAGAAGGGGTCGGAGCAGCGGCTCCGTGGTCCCCGGCAGGCTGTGCGCCGCCCGAGCCATGCTCAACGCCCTCGGTGCAGGACGCTGCTCCTCTGGGACCTGGGTTTTGGCCGTCCTCCCCTGAGCTGCTGGGAGCTTTCCCTGGGAGAGGAGGCTGGGGATTTATTTGATACCTGGAGCTGATGGGGTGGGATCTCTGTGTCCGTGTCCTCCCCAGCACCGTCTCTTTGCCGGCTTGGGTTTATACACGCCGAGGACAGCCATGGCCGTCATCGCGGGGTGCTGGCACCCACCACGCTGGCAGAGGCACCCGCTTCGCCCTATGTGCGGCCCCAGACGCTCCCACCCCACCACAAACTCGCGTCCTGCTGCCTCACCGGACCGTGCCAGCGTGGCAACACCGTGTCTTCCCCACGTGCCCTTTTAAACAACCCCGATGCGATTTCCTTGCCTGAGAGCTGGCCCCGCAGCCCCCCAGCTCCCCTTGCCTTTGAGGAATATTTGGAAGATGAGGCTGGCCGTCTCCTTTCCCCTTGGTCGGTGCTTATCTGACCCGCGTCCTCCACCATGGTGCGGCCTGGCTCCCTTTGACTATAGCTGTAGCCCCGATGTGCTCTGGTCGTACACATCTACATGCGGTCAGATGAATCCCACCCTGCACGGGGAGCTCAGGATGCTTCCCAGTGACCCAAAAGGCACATTTGGGAGAAGACATGTCCTGTAGGTCAGCGTGGGGAGATTGTGGGAGCACCTCTGCTGACGTCCAGGTCTTCCCACCATTGCTGGGCTGCCTCCTGGTTTGTAGGAGCCCTTAACTGGTGTTTGCATAGCCAGAAAGCATCAGGAGCTCAGTATTTAGTGATGGGAAATACCAATTACTCCATTATTCTCAGTCTTACTGTAACAGGGAGCGAATCCAGTATTAAACTGACTCTGCATTGGATTTAAAGAGAGGAGAAAAGCAAAATCCTCTTAGCTTCATAAACTGTAAAATGCTCAGTGTGGGAAAGAACAGCTGGGCATGCATTTGCTGATGCTAGCGAAGCTCTGGTAATGGCTTTAACCACAGCAGCCCCTCTTTGTCACTGCTTTGTGCCGTGCTGGCCAGCACACGGGTTGGGTTAACTGGTTCTGCTGGGAGAGGAAGAGAGCAGGGCGCAGGCAGCCCAGCACGCTTGCGGGCAGCGATGGCGATCAGCCACCGGAGACCCGATTTGAAACGTAAAGGCAGGAGGCAAGTTGGCCGAGACCGAGCGTGGAGTGACCAAGCTCACAACCCTCATGAAGGGATGTGGAAGAAAAGGGAAATAAAGACAAGGCACCCTAAGGCGGCAGACTGAGACACTTTGGGAACTGGTAAGTGAGATCTCATGGGAGGCACGTTAAAAGGTGAAAGGAGTTAAGGAAACTGGCAGTTCTTCAAAGAAATGATGCAAACAACACAAATACAAGCCATCCCAATAAAAAATGTAGT